CTCTCTTCTTCTGTTTATATAAATTCTGGTTGTTAATTGTTTCAGTAATGCATAATATTTTTGATAAAATATTATAATTAACTGGAGATAAGTCTTGGAATTGATTTTTATTTAATTCATGTAGAAGTTTTTTTTCCTTATTATATTGTCTTATTTCATTACAAACTTTTTTCTTGTTTTTCTCGGTTAAGAAATTGTTTATCTCTTTATCCTCTAATGATTTGGAGTTAGTATTAATACACTGATTTATAACAGGGTTGGATATATTAATAATGTTCTTAAAAAAATTATTACTATCTTCTAGCTAATATTCAAAATTCTGTTCTAATTTTACAACTTTAGCTTTAAGTTTGGCATTTTTAGCAGAAGTATCTATTCTATTTTTCTCTAACTCTTCAATTCTGGTTTTAAGCTTAGTATTCTCTTTTATAAACATCTTAGCCTTATATTCTCAGCTTTAAACTCAGCCTTAACCCCAGCATACTTCATTTTAAGTTCACTAATCTTTATAATAAGCTTGGAATTCTGTTCTTCTAATAAATTAATTTTGAATTGTGTATTTGTCATTGTTTTATATAAGATATTATTTATTTAAATTTTCGAGTTAAAACAAAAATCAAATTGCTAAGAAATTTCACAAACTTCAAGTCATTCAATTTATTAAAAAATTCATGATTATATATATGTTTATCAATAACAGAAAATATAATAAATTCCCAAAATATATATATAAAAGTAAACAAAATCAGCCACCAGAGCCAGCTTTTATTAATATAGAAATCAAAATAAAGTACAAGATAAAAATATAAAATAAAATATATATATACTTTTTTTTGAAGTAATTTCTTGGTAGAGAATATATAAAGGTTCATTTTTTATAAATTAGTATATATTCTTTTATATTTACTGACACTTCAACAATTTTTTTAACTATAGCTTCTAGATCTAAAGTACTTTTTAAAAAATCTTCAACAACCTAACTTGTAAAGGTATATTGTTAACCGTTATTTCTTATTGTGTTGAATATTTGATAATCCAAGATATAAAGAGAGTATTCTTAAAAATCAAAATAATTTATATGAAGACTATTAGTCTTATTTAGAGTTTGGAACATAGATAAAAATCTGGCATGCCTATATGGGCATGCTATTATGTCAAAATATACTCCTTATACTCATAAGCATACCTATCTGGGATCCTGTGACCAAAATCATTACTAGCTAATCACGTAATATAAATTACAAGACTTGATTTATTACAAAAAGAACAACATAATAGTAACACAACTTTAATTTATCTTAAGTATAATAGATAAATAGAAACATTTCACTATAATTTTTATAATTAATAATATAGTATATCTTGTGAGAAATAAATTTTAAATAAGAAAATCTTTATGATTAGTCATTTATCAAAAAAGTATTATTATTTTTGAGTTCAAAATTTTATTCTGTATCATATTTTGCACAAAATTATACAGTTATATAATATAATACTGTATATAAAATTATTTATATAAGAGTATATTTCAAAGCCCAATATATAATCTAATCATGGTATTGAATTGACCAATTCGATTAGAAGTTTATAGACTACAGGTATAATATATTTTTGTAAGTTAAAGTTTCTATAGGTTAAGGTTAAGGTTAGGTTGGGGTTAAGTATGGGCATGCCTCTGTGCCCTGAACTCTAGCCACAGGCAAATATTTTAATAATTGGGCCGCAAGTATTTAAAATGGGTAACAATGCAATTCATAAAAGCAACTAAACATATGCAAATCAAATTTTCAATTAAAATATATTTTTAAACTTTAAAAATTGAAAGTACAATTGTGAAAAGTATTTTCTATAAGAAATCTTTCAAGAAATTCTTTATTTTTTAAATCCCCAATGCCCTTTTTTAAATTATCCTTTTCAAGAATATTCTGATTATGCTTAGCCAATACATTACTTGATTTATCAGGGGAAACTTCAAGACTATCAAAAGTATTTGCCAATGACATTTGCAAATTGGTCTGTCAAACTAACTATATCAGCAAATTTGCAGAATTAAACTAAATTAAGATTTATATATTTTAACAATGCAATTATAAAACCAACTCCAAAATTTTAACTATTATGCATTTTGCAATTGTTAAATCCAGGTACCTTAATTTAGATCCATTCCACAAATCTGCTAATATGCAAACTTGCAAGTGCAAAATCACTAGCTACTGGAGCTGCCTTTTGATAGTTTTAACTTTATCATAATTACTGAGAGGCTTCATTATGATTACTGAAAGCTTTGTTGTTATTGTAATTACTAAATACTTTATTGTTATCTTTATCACTAGAGGTTTTGTATAAAAAAAAAATTATTAAACAAATATTCAAAATTACAACTATATAAATAAAAATTTTACTTTTTGAAATTTGTTAAAGTGTATTAAAAAATCTACTTAGACTTTTATACTATATTACAAATTTTAGACATTTATATACTACAAGATCTTTTTAAAATTTATGTTTTATAATCATATTACAACAGAATCAGAATATCTAAACTTTTTCAAAAGTTGTATTATAGTTTTTTTTTCAAAGTAATTCAATATATTATATGTTTCTATTTAAATACCTGTCATTTTATTTATTTTCTAAAAATATTCTTTTAATTTTTATTTACCCAAAGTATATATATAATACTATTGTTTATAAAATTCTATTAACAAATAAAAAAAAAATTAGTAAACAAAAATTTCTATCTAAAAATCTGTTAATAAATATAATTAATAATCTGCTACTCAACAAGTACATGATTTTAGAGAAGCACCGTTTATTACATAATTTATTTTTATTATAAGACCTGACCTCTCCCCTCTGGTGATAATATAACTTCAAAAATATCAAAACATGTGATTAATTAATTTAACCAATCAAACAAATCAGCTCATTCAGTTTGATTTCTGAATAAACTAATTCATATCTTTAGTACAACAAAAAGTTGTCAAGTAATTTTGGATGATTCTATAAAAGATTAAAAAAATATAAACATGCATGAAGTTATAATAAGTGAAATGAATCTAATATAGAAAGTTATTGACTATTGTTATGCGAGAGAAAATGTAAGAATTGTCTAATCCAGTATAGTGCATAGCAATAGTCACAATATTGTATAAAATAATGATTAATAAAAATAGTTAAACTTTAACTTATAGTTCTAAGAAATTAAAATAATACATAAATCTTCTAAATAAAGTAGAATTAGACCTATAATAATATATATGATAAAGATTCAGGCTTGGTATAGCATATAGTTGATAATGATGAAAAAATAATCAATTATAAGAAAAAATAATAATACTTAACACAGCCTCAAAAAAATAAGAAATTTTTGAATTAAATTGTTAAAGCAATTAATATGAAATAAGTATAATATATAGTCATGAATACAGGAAGAAGTTTAAAAGGATTAATTTTTTTTATAATATATATGAATTTTCTAAATAAAGTATAATTAAATATAGAGATATTTTCTTTATAAAGGTATAACAAAAAGAATAATTCTAAAGTATAAAATGGCTATTCCCATATATAAATTAATTAAAAATATAATAGTTATATTTATTAAATAAAAAATTAAAAACATATTCACCCAATTATAAAGGTACAAATTCCTATTAACTTTGTGCAGTTGTGGTAGTTAGTCCTATCTCAATATTAGTCCTGTTATATTACATAATATTCTAATATGGCTCAGAGCTTTCTTTTAATGTCTAAATTTTTAAAAACTTACTTGTATGCTAATTCTACAATTTTAGAGGTGTGGCGATCTATTGTAGTGGTTAGGTTGTCACCCTCACCAAGTGGCAAATCAAGAGTTCAAAACCCACTAACAGCAAAAATTCGAATAATTACCTGTATTATGGCAACTGTCTTCTGTCGATTAGTTGGGATAGGATACCCATAACTACGGTCGCACCAGCATGACTGGCAGGTCTGGGGCATCCGTGCAACCTTGGGTTATACAGAGAAATGCAAACCGGCAATGGGCAGTACAAACACTCGATAAGTCCCTAGGTCACATAAATCCGTAGAACTGGGAGAACAGAAGCTCATTTGGGAAGACCCGAGTGAAGAGGTAGCACAAATCTTCGACAGTACTACTATAAAGGCTAGACCTGGAAAAAGAAAACCAAAGTAAAAGAACCAGACAGGGCACGATTGGTTTGTAGTAAAGCCGATTTACCAACCAGGCCGCCAGGTTAACTGGAGGAAAAGGTCATGGCAAAGCCGATGAACCAAGAACAGGTCACAGTCCTTCTGGGCCATCTGAATTGGTAGTCTAGGACTAAAGCGGAGGGGAACCAAAGTACTGGGGATATGCTGTGAAGTGGGTACTAGGTTTGGGTGAACTTTGCAAGGGCATAGCCCTGTTGATAGAACTATAGAGTGGGTAGGTTGTTGACAGGAGGGCACCCTGAGCCTTGCTACTGGGTAACAGTACTCATTAAATTGGGTACAGCCTGGGTTCCTAGCACAGAAAAAGAAACCAAATGTTGAGTTAGACGGTACCTTGGTATACAGGAACTTATGGGGCTAATTGCGGAGAAGGTATAGAAGATTAAAGGGTTTAAATAAGCAATCTCCTAGCAGGTTGCAGGCATGGCAGCTAGTGTAGAACCTTCAGGCGGACTACTTAAATAGGCAACCAAAAGTTGTATGTGTGGCTAGTTGTACGCTCATCAATGTACCAAAAAATGTTTGTAAATAAACATATAAAAACACAATAAAGTGTTAGCACCTGTAACATCAGTTTAAAAAAAAAAAAAAAAAAAAAAAAAAATTCTACAATTTTATATCATAAATTTTGCAATGCTTTCATATTTTTCATAATAGTTAAATCTTGCAATTCGAATATGAAATGACAAGATTTGATGAATACAGCAAATAAAAAATGCCGAAAATATCAGAAGCAACAATTAAAAAACAAATTAATAAATTTTTTATATCTAGTCTATCCATTATTCAAATATCACTTTCTTTTTACTACCTAGTTTACCCAACTTATCTAGTTCAGAATCATCAACTTCGAATTCAGCCAGTTCAAAATTATCAACTTCGAATTCAGCTAGTTCAAAATCATCATCTTTGACTTCAAGTTCTTTATTATTAGATGAAATACTTACTATCACCCCTAATGCATCAGCTTAGCAAAACTCTTTAATACAAATTAAAGATGCTGAGGCTAAAATAATAGAATATAAATATCTATTAATAAATACTAATAATAAAGATTTTCAGTATCAGATATTTGAGAAATTAAAGAATGCTTAGGCTATTATTGAAAAAGAAATAAATCATCTTAGCTTACTTAAGCACCATGCTGTATCACAAGAAAAATATCGAGAAAAAAAGCAAAAATAGCTTAAAGATAGTACTGTTAAAATATATAATACAAGAAGATGTTCATCTGAGTTCCAAAAGAATCCTGAATTGCTTGATCAAATACATGAATGTATCAAATTTGATGCAGCAGATAGAAGAAGAAAAAAAACTACAATTAAAGTTTGTACTATAAAGCATTTAAAAAAAGCTTTACAAGAAAGATATAATATTTATATTACTTATCAAATACTTCAATATATCTTTTGCCTAGCATCCTAATTTACATAATGCACTTTGTTATTATTATCTAGCAAATATTAAAATTGCTACAGTATCTCGATCTAAAATGAGTTATCATATTGATGAGTACTATTGTCTTATATCAGTTAAGATGGTTAGAGAATTTGCTTCAACTTTTGCTACTCATAGTATTATTATCTTACAAGATGATAAAGCTAAGGTTAGTTTAGGTATATCAACAGTTAGTAGAACTTTCAGAAGTCTCCAATTTCTTAACTTATACTTTCAATTTACCTTATTATTAATCCTAAAGATACAAATAAATCACAATGGCAAGGTTAGTTATCCATTTATATTAGACTAGAATATTTTGCTAGAACATCTTCAATGTCATATATGAGAGATTTGATTGATATTACAAAGAATAATAATTATGCACAGGTATTTAAATATAAGGAATGACTTAAATTTATATAGGTTTTATTAGTTGATGAGGGCCTGATGAAAACCCAAAGCATTTAAAAAATATTATTAAATACTATCATTTTTTTTGTGAACTTGATCTTGATTATTTCTCTATTCATATATATACTTCTTACCAATCTGCCTATAACTTAGTTAAACATAGTATGTATACTCTTTCAAAAAAACTTGCTAGGGTTGAGCTGCCAATTGATGAGTTTGGGTCATATCTTAATAGTCAAGGAGTAGTTGTAGATAAAGATTTGACAAAATGTAATTTTGAATTTGCTAGTCAATGCTTATGTAAAATTTGGAGATGTGATAATATTAATAGAAAAAAAGTTCATGTTAATTATATTGATCATAATGAAAATCTATTTCAAAATAATAGAAAAAATACTATAATCTGGTTATAGATAGAAAATTATACACAAATCTGCTACTATTCTCTTGATATGCAGAAATGTTCTAATCAAAGTTGTTGTGATAAGATTCATGCCAAGGAAGCAGCTAACCTATTGATAAAAAACAATAGATTTCTTTTACCACTAGCAAAAAAAAGATATAGTCATTATCTAAACCTGATTCATATTCTACAATACATAAACAAAATAAAACTGCTTAAATATAATAAAATCTGTTCTTAATTATCAGCACAAATGTATCAAAGGCTTTGTTGCAACATATGTAACAAATATTTTCCTACAATAAAAATGATTACTAAACATAAAAAAATATTCTATCCTAAAAAAAACTACAAACAAACTACAGATCAAACCTCTGTATATAGTTATAATTCTTCTATTAAGTTTGTGGAAAATATATTGTCTACCTATTCAATTTCTTCACCAAAATTTATACCACCACAGCTATATTTCTCTGCAGATGAGATCTCTACATTAGATTGTTTCAATATATCTCAAATTCAACTAAGCAATATGGCCTTTGTAGAGGACTTTTCTAGCCTACCTTCTACAGATTCACTTTATCAATTAGAAGTCTTTGATTCATGAGATTCGCTTTCTGATACTGAATAAAATATAATATAAAAAGTAAAAAATAAAAAATCAAACAAAAAAGGATATGATTATAAAATAGTATAAAATATTTTTTAAAATTTTAAAATTAATGACTTATTTTAAAATTTGATCTATTTTAAATAAAAATTACTATTGTGATATTTGCATTTTTTTTTATAATATAAGTAAATTAATATAAAGATTAATCTTTAACAAATACTATTTTTTGATTGATCAATTCGGATCAATATACTAATATGTGATAGATCCACCGACCCCCCTACTCCCCAAAATTACGTAATAAATAGCGCTTCCCTTAGTATAATGTGATGCAGTTTACTATGTAAATCTATTATAGTATGAATGTGGTGATCCTCCAAGTAAAACATTTTTTGTACTAAGTTAATTGACCTTGTTAATTAATTAAAAGTTGTAGAGCTCATCTTTATAGTTCCAATAGTAGTTTAATCATCCAGATCGGCCTAGTAGATACCGAGATATCTTTAAAAAACGTGTCAATGACTATATAAAATCTCTCTTTAAACAATATATTGTTTAAAGAAAGATTTTATATAGTCATTGACAAGATATTTCGGCATCTACTAAGCCGATTTGGATGATTCAACCACCATTAGAACCACAACGATGAGCTCTACAACTTTCAATTAATCAACAAGATCGATTAACTTAGTATAAAAAAAGTTTTACTTAGAGGATCACTATATTCGCACTATAATAAATTTATATAGTAAACTGTATCACATTACATTAAGATCATGCACCTGTTGAGTGGTGGATTATCAAATAAAATATTATTTAACTTTAAAAATATAAATTTTAAATAAAAATTTGTTATAGTTATTATTGAGTATTTAGTAAAATATAATTTATAGATCTTCTTTAGTATAGGTGGGCAATATAAAAATATTATAAAATTATTATATAAAAAAACTATAACTCTAACCCTAATATAACTATAAATTATACAATAACTCTTACTCTAACCCTAACTAATCTCAAATTTGCTTAAATTAGTTTAAATAACTATTTTTATATATTATAATCTTATATTATTTCTATATTGCTATCTAAACTAAAGATCAACCCATATTTTAATGATATTTCATCAATAAATAGCACTTTTTCCACAAATATCACTAATAACACTAATGTCACTTATAACATTAATGCCATTTCACTAATAAGTTCAACTTTCAAACCTGTATTATCATAGAAATGTAAAACTATAAATATGATATCTCTTAACTTCATAATAAAATAGCTAGCTGAGAGCTCAAATAAACTCATAGTTGGCATAACTCAATAGAGTTCGACTCAATTAAGAATCTATTATCCTGACTTTAATATTTTGGCATGAATAAATAATATATTTTTATATGTAACAATGAATAAAGAATTTTTTTTTATAAATTCATAT